AAAACCATCATCAACTAGGCGAACCAATATTGGCCTTGAATTTCGTACCAAAAGCACACAAGAACCAAATGAAGTGTGATTGGAGGGAGCGAGACCCAGACCATGCCAAGAAGGCTAGGGCCTTCCGAACTGATCTAAGAGGGCTAGCTGAGCCCCGGTGTGCCCATGAACCCAACTACGCAAGGTAGACGTCTGACTCCCTTACCACCTAAAATCTCTATCATTGTTGGCACCTTTCTGTACATGCTCGCTGTTTTTTGGAAGTGCGACCTCGACCGAGCCCCATAAATCGGGTAGAAGCAGTCTCGACCGAGACCCATAAATCGGGCACCCGACAGAGAGCCGAGATAGTGGGGTGACCAACTGGCGACTCCATTAGGGACACATCACTCCAAGGGTGGTTTCGCTTGTTTTCTAAAACACTCACATTAAAATGAATCCGGGGTTATCCAACTCCTACATCCGGGTGGGAGACTTCATGATCTCTCTACCCTGGAATATGTCCCTAGGGAATCGGGTTTTTCAACCTGCTCTTCACACTCTTCTCTTGTGAGGCGATGCAGCCTCTCGCATTTGGGCTCCGGCCCAACTTGGATCGAAAAGGGACATTTGAGTCCCTTACTCCCCACCTCCCGACACCAATGGCGGAGCTATTGCGGTCAAATGCATTGGTGGCACAAAGGCCACCACCCTCCATATTCACATGGTTACTGGCGGCTCACTCGCCAGTCATAGTTCACGAGGCACCCAAAGCAGGACCCCCTTTCTTGTTGCAAACAACAATCCATTTGCCACTGCTTCTGTAGGCGACCGAAAGACCACGCCCCATAAGCTCTACACGCAGCCTAGTGACACCATCACTAATGTCACTCGCACCACTCATTCCGGAGGTAATGCTGCCAGCACTTCATCTTCAAGTAGCTGAAAGGCCACCCCGCACATCACCACTCATAAGACTGGCAGCCCAACCACTGGTCTCCCACCACGGGGAAGGCCCAAGGCCATTCCTTCCTACCCACCAACATAGAGGAAATGTTTCCATGATATCACAATAATCTTTGAAATTAGATAAACCATAGTTATCAAGACCAAATCGAACTGTTGACCGATGCCTTGGCCGATTTAATCCATCATAAAAGTTTAAGTTTGGTAAAAAATCTGTCAAAACCAATATTTGATCGGTTTTGACCAGTTGGACTAATCGAGTTTAATGGGTTCGGCTATCAAAATGAATTCGGTAGATTTTTAGATAAAATTTATATTTTATATTGTGATATCTAATTTTTTTTTTTTCTTCTAAAATACGGTCCAACCGTTTGGACTAGTTGTTGGACCGATTTTGACTTGATCAAACCCCTTACCAGTTGGGTGGTTAGTCCTATCATGATAACATTGATATAAATATGGGCTCCAATTTTTGTGACCATTCTTCAAGAAGCAGTTATTGTGAATTTTTTTATTCACTCAACCTAATTTCTCTAAAATATAGAAAAACTCAACACTTCTTATGCTGAGATCCTGCAGGAGGGGTGTAAAAACGCTATGTAAGTGCTATAAACGAAAAAATGGGTATATAAAAAAATGGGTTTAAAAAATGAGCCTAACATAAATGTGGGAAACTATGTCTTAAGAACTGAAATGGTGGGTTGAGTCACCCACCTACTATTTGAACAGGCTCGTAACTGTCTGAGTTGGCTCGTCAGTCCTCCGAGGTTTTCTAATTGACAAAAAAAAAAAAAACAAACTAGCTACGGCATTTATGAGTTAAAACATTGACTAAAATGCTTAAAAAGGGAGTATCAATTTGAGGCGATAAGGAAATGAAAGAGGGAAAATACTTTGATAAATATAGGGAAAATATGTCATGGTATTTTATAGAAAAGTATATAATAAAACTTTATATTTAGTAATATAATCACTACCTTTATATAAGCCAAAAGATAGGCTACTCCCACAGGAGCATAGTGTCCATTTGCTCCCTCGGGTAATTCTCAAGTTAGAAATATTTTTAGTACCTAAATTTTGGAAATTTGGTAGATATCAACATTAAAAAGAAATTTTACAAAGCACGTGTTCTATGCGCTTGAAATGAAATGCCCCAAGATTGAACAACGAACATCCCATTTTCGGAGGACAAGATCAAGTTGTCGAAAAACCTCATAATCCAATTTTTTTCTTTTAAAAAATACCAGCCAGTTATTCTTAGTTGGATCCCAAAAACTCAAATTAAAAAAAATCTTTCAAAATATCTCTTTTACCCGAGGGAGTTACAATACAATATGCTCGCGATACACCTTCTATATAAGAGATTGTCTACAAAGAGACCATTTGTACATGGAAGTCACAATCAATCCATCTAATTAGATGTCAAATTAGATGGCTTCGGGTGAGTTACCAAGTCCGAGAAACTTTTTTTTTACAGAACTTCTTCTATCCAATGACACTTTTACAACCACATATTTTGAAATTTAAAGTATAAAAATAATTGTGACCTCCATATATAAAAGATAAATGGTTACACAATCCCTTCCTTTATATGAACTAAAAAATTGGAACACCTTTGTATGAACTGAAAAAATGGAACAAGAAAATGCTTTGCTTGGCTAGGTATGGCTCACATCACACTGAGTCAACATAAGGTTTTTAACACACACTGGAAATATCCAAAATTGATCCATGTGTGTATTTCAGCTTACTATGCAGTTGCTTGCCCCCTCTGTTTACAGTTCTATACGACCAAATGTGCGTTTGCACGTTGCATCGTGAGACATTGTATGAAAAAATTCTTTTGCATTTAATATAAATTAAAACTGGCATATTTATTTTTTGTTTTCATTTAGTTTTTAGTTATTCAATGTTTCTCCAAAAAAAATTTTGGCCTAATTTTTATGCTATTGTGTTTAAGTATTTCTACTTTTTGCATTTTAGCTATTTTACATTTCTCTAAGTAAATAATGAACGCTATTTGGATATAAATCCTTCTGTGGTAGGACTTAAATTTAGCTTGACATATTTATGGAGGAGGCTATTCAATTTCTTAACATATTGAATTGGATAACAAATGTGAGAAATTTTTAAGGCTTCCCATATGACTTTTGCTAGAATTATGAAAACAAAACAAGAGAGGACTTTAAGCAGAGTGATTTTATGGCAATTTTGGGGAAACAAGAGTCACTGAGAGAAATTCAAAATATCATACTTTTGTTTATTCCCCCTTGCATATATTTCAAAATTTTATTTTGAAATGAATATTTCATTGGTGAAATGGATGAAACATACATTCATTCACCATGTGGGGCACATCGCATGGATAAAAAATGGAAGAAAAATGTAAGGTAGTATTTTAAAACCCGGCGATTCTCAATCCAAATTATCAATTTGGATGGGAATGGGACCAAACTGGTCCTGAGATGGTATGGGTCCCAACCTAGTTCATCTCTGAGACCTCCCCTCTCAAATATATTTCTTTTACTTTTTTATGCTTGTCTAAAGTTTTTTTAGGTTCCCTCATATCCCTATCTTATAAACCTCTATTTATAGTTATTTTTAAATATTTTTTAGATCATCAAATTTGAACCGATTTAAAACTGATCCGAATCGCCAATCCAACCGCCCTAGATCGATTTGTAGGTAAATAATCTGCAACCCACCCCACCAATTGGGGTTTTAAAACACTGGTGTAAGGCGTGCAACCCACCCCACTAATTGGGGTTTTAAAACACTGGTGTAAGGCGTATAAACAGTGAGTGATGGTATCCTTGCCATAGGATATCCATTTCAGGAATTGACTAGCTAAGATGTTGTGGTACCATAATAAAAATATCCAAGCACCCAAGAATACGGTATGCTAATCAAAAGGGGTTATCTACAATGAGAAAATTTATCTTGGTATAGGGATATCATAATTACTTATAAGATGTGAAATTTGATACTTTGGATGTATTACAAAATTCAAAATTACATACAACGGTTAAAATTAATTGTGACCACTTTATAACAAAGTAAATGGTATCCTTATATACTTTCCGTGTATTTTGATGACCTAAGCTAAAACTTTGAATTGATAGGGTTGTTCTTTTAATTTTGATGACGTAAGCTGAAACTTTGAATTGATAGGGTTGTTCTTTTCTACAGCGTTCCAAGACTACCAAAACCCCGTATTTGTTGGACTATAGGTCCCAGCCCTATCGCAATTCTTGAGTGTCTGTTTCTACAATCCGCACCGTCTATTTGTACACTATTTAGATTTACATTTAAGAGCCTATTTTCTTCCTGGAGTTGACTACAACGTGAATCAAAATTTATTTTCAAAATTTTGGGTCCTAAAATCTATCCACAAGCCTCTATCAACCGTGTAGGAGTCTATTATTAAATTTTCCTTGAGACACTATTTTATCCTTGGATAATAATTAGGGAAACTCATTAAAATAAAAAAATATATAAAGAGACTATTTACTTTTAATACAATAAATTTACAATTACCTTTTTCTCTCGGATTTCATAGCGGATGGTCATGCGAGTGTCATTTACTAGACTTAGCGGATGGTTGTTCGGGTGCCATTTACTAGACTAAAAGTTCAAAGAAAAAAGAAAAGTCTTGAATTTCATGACACACCTTAAGCCATCTAATTTGACATATAATGACTAGACGTAATTGTGATATCCTTGTAACAAAGATAAGTAGTCTCATAGTATTAAGTCCCCGTTAAAATACATGAGATTCGTATAAAGCGCACTCTTTATATTGTAGAAGCAAGGCACATCTCTAAAATTTGCTTGGAGATGTAATTTTAGTGTCGGAAATCCTATGATTTCTTCAAAATATTTATTTTCTCTAACTTATGAAATTTAGAAAATAAAAATAATATAGATGGGGCAGACATATAAATACCTAATAATCTTAAAAAAGAGAGGGTCTATATAACTTGTTAGAAGCACTATTTTTATGACTTAAATTCCTTTTATTTTTTTTCATATCCGCTCAAAGTCGAGATGATTAATAAAAAAATTGGAACCTTATATTAATTTTTTTAATTAATTTACCCGTATATTTTGATTTAATTTCAAAGTACCAATCATAATACACAAAAGAGTAACTATACAGTGCGCATCCACTGAAATAGAACCTCCATCGCTCCAGTGGTCTAAACCATCGATCAGTCCCAACATATGCACAAAACCAACGACCTAGATTTCCCCGATGAGCATCCGTCAGCTACTGATGGACCGCTGCGATATGAGCTGCTCCTCAGTGAGAAAGCAGCTATGGAAGCCATAGGGCACACGCTGGGGCAACCTCACTGAGGCCACGATCTTCAGATCGGACGATGCCACGTCCATGACCACGAAGCGAGCCTCCCCAGTGGCCTCCTCATGCAAAAACGCCACCACATAACCATCGTCCTCACTCTCACTGTCACTCTGTCTCTTGGCCACGAACGCCGGCTCACTCCCAAACCAGCCCTCCTCATAAACTCTCTGAGCCACAACGCACTCTCCCTTCCCTTCTCTTTCTAAATCAAGCTTCACAACGCCCTTGATCTTAGGCATCGGTGCGCCGATCGACATATATGCGAATCGATTCTTTCGACCCAAAAATCGTTGGTTTATGATCCCGAACTCGAGATTCATGGTGGAGACAGGCCTCCGAGTAACTGCACCGGTTTTCAGATCGAGCCTCACGATCTCGACGGAGGAGTGGATGAGATGCATGGCCTCCAGTGCGTGTTCCGCAGGGAATGTGTTTGGCGTGACGATCGTGATTGCGTTGGGGCCTTCGTCCCAGGCATTCACTAAGTGGAAGAAGTTGCATCCAGGTATGTCGAACCACCGCACGTCGCCACTGAACGAATCACGGGGCATGACGCCAAGTCGTGGGACCTTGCTCGAGTTGGATGCGGCTGGCGCACCCCCTGTCACAAGCCCCGCTGGGTCCATCGTGATCTGGTTCTCATGGAAAATCGCGTACTTCTCTGTTATTGTGAAATCGTGCATAAATGGCGGCGACAGCACTGAAAACACCGGCACGTCGGGAAATTTCGAGCCATTTTTGTCGAATCGAAAGTAGGTTAGAAATGGAGGAATCGGAGCATAACGAAAGGCGAAGGTCTCTCTGGTTTTGGGATCGGTTTTCGGGTGAGCAGTCATGCCAAGAGCCAGTCGGCCTTCAAAGTTTTCACGGCCCATGGTTTCGATATCGCCCTGATCAGTGACCCTTATTGCGTAAGGCAAGTCAGACTCGCCCAACGCATACAGTGTGCCACCAAAGAAGGCGAAGCTTGTGTTTGCAACGCCGCCGCCACGCGTAAGGTCGATCTCCCCTGCAAGCACGCGAGCCCCAAGCACAGCGCCACGCGTGACGCCTGAGATCCCGGACATGGCTCCAAAGAAATTGGGGTAAACAGCACCACAGGCCTTGCGCTCAAGGTCATATTTGTATGTTTTGACGAATCGGGCTGAGTAGGTTGCTTGCCCGTTGCTAATGCGAAGGCAATGAACCATGCCATCACCGTCGAAGAGATGGTACGCGCCTCGCGGTAGGTGCGCAGGGTTCGGACCATTGCGTAGATACGCACCATTGATGCAAGAGGGGAGGGTGCCCTCGATTTCGAGGCAAGGAGTCGGAGGAAGCTCCGAAACAGGGTGGAAGTTACCTGCTAAAACGTGTTTCGGGTCGATAGAGGGGCGGGGAGGGGGCTCAATGAAGCTGGTTATGAAGCCATCCATTGTGTTGCAGAGCGTGCTCACGAGCGATGGTTGGCCCACAGGCCGCTCGGCCCTGCGTGGCCTCACGCGGGGCTGGAGAGTGGCGCGTCGTGCTTGTGGTGTCACCGTGGCTGGTTTTTCCAAGATTGATGGCTTCCCGTTGGACGCCGGCGCTTCGGGTTTGGCGTCATATTGCGATGTTGGTTTTTCTTGGATTTGAACAGCTGAGATTGGAGGAAGGCGGACGCAGGTTGGAACCGGAATCGGTCTTGGTGGTGAATGGTGGCAGAGAGAGGTGGAGAATAAGGAGGAAGAGAAGGCGTCCATTCGAGTCGGTGATGGTGATGGTGGTTGTTGTAGTGGATAAAGGGATTAAGAGAAGGCGTACAAATATATATAGAGTTTTTTTTTTTTTTTGTTAATAATAAAAAAAAAAAAACCCTTAAGAGTGAAATTGGTATGAAACTTACCTGACCTAATTTTTACGTTTTTTCTCAAAATACGCTTTATACAATATACCTCCAACCAAATAAAAAATGCATAAACTTTCCCTTCTTACTTTTATTACCCACACCTCTCTCACCTCTATCCCACTAGATACTGTGTAAATGTGGTTGGCAGTAGGACCTTGACACTTTGAATAGGGGCCAAGACACTATGTAGATGTGGTGGGCAGTAGCTCTGGCACTATGTAAAATATGTTCGGACCGCAGCGCTCTCTTTTCTCTATCCCATTAGAATAGGCGCCCTCTATCCCACTAGAATAGGGGCCCAGATATTGTGTAAATGGGGTTTACAATAGAAGTGCTCTATTCCACTAGAATAGGGATCCAGATACTGGGTAAATAAGGTTCACAGTAGGGCTGACATTGTGTAAAAATGTGGTCGTACATTAAGGATCTTGAACTTGGACACTGTATAAATGTGGTTCGTAGTAGGGTCTCTTGGCACTGTATAAAGTGCGGTCGTAGGGCTCTCTCTTCTCTATCCCACTAGAATAGGCACCCTCTATCCCACTAGAATAGGGGCCTAGACACTGTGTAAATGTTGTTCACAATAGGGCTCGGACACTGTGTAAAGTGTAGTCAGACAGTAGAGCTTCTGAACTGTTTGAAGTGCTCTTCGGTAATAGGGGTTCGACACTACAGTAGGGCTCCTGAACTGTTTCAAGTCCGGCAATAGGGCTCCGACACTATGTAAATTACAGTCCAACAATTGCAAAAGGCGATCCGGCAATTGCAAAGGGTAGTTGCAAGGGGCGGTGCGACAATAGTTGTTACTAGATTCCAGCGCTTCGGTACTATGTAAAAGGTGATCCGGTAGCACTCAGTTTCAGTGTGGCAGTTCTCTTAAGGCGGTCCGGTACTTGTACGATCCATAGATTTCAGGGCTTCGGTATTATGTAAAAGACGATCCGGTAGTACTCAGTTTCAATGTGGCAGTTCTTTTAAGGCAGTCCGATACTTGTCCGATCCAGCAATATGCTACTAGGCCCAAAAGTCAATGTCATGGCCAAAATGGCTTTTATATATGGGAAGGGCATTTCTATCTAAAAATAAACTTTTTTCTTTTAAAGGTATTTGCATAGAAAGTTTATATGGGAAGGGCATTTCTATCTAAAAATAAACTTTTTTCTTTTAACAGTATTTGCATAGAAAGTTTGTTTTGAAAAAAAAATGAGAGAAAAAATTAGGATGGACATTGGAGGTTTTATTATTATTATTATTATTATTATTATTTATAATTTTCTCTTGAGTTTTTTTAGGCAAATACTATATAGAGAAAGTTACGACGGTGAGCCTCGTGTAAGAGATGGGGAAATATCAAAATGACGTTGGAGGGGGGCGTTTGCCTTGATAGTGGTATTAGATGACACGTAAAGGGCAAGAGTACCACTCAATAAAGATGATGGAAAAGTTTATATAGAGCGTAGGCTCTAAACAATTAAATTAAAGCCTACCTCAAAAATTTCATTAGAAGAGGTTATTTCGATGCTTAAATACCCTCAAATTGATCATCTCGACATCAAGATATATGGACTTAAGAAAAAAAAAGATTTTAAAATTTGAAAATAGTATATCTTGTAATGCATTTTTTTTATCGTCAATTTTTAAGTTATTCAACTTTTTCATAGATCTGCTCAATCTACATTATTTTGTAAGCTTTAAAGATGGAAATATATTTTAAGGCTAACCAACGATTTTCAGTATTGAAACTACGTTTATCGATACTATTTGAAGGTAGGCTCTAATTTGATTGTTTAAAACCTCGGCTCTACACAAACCTTACCAACAAAGGAAAGGGTCATTTACTTTAGTTGGGATGCGAAGGAAACAGGCTTTATATATAACCCATGTGGGGTATCCTGTAGAGACAAGGACATAAACTGAGGGATAATGGTCCAAAGATGAGAGAAGTGGAGCTCACTCAAAATTATGAAGGATCCAATTATTAATATATGGGAAAAGTTTTTATAGAGTTGAGGCTCTAAGCAATTAAATTCAAGACTACCTCAAAAATATCACTAGAAGAGGTTGTTTTGATGTCCAAATATCTTCAAATTCATCATCTCGATATCAAGATGCATAGACATGAGAAAAAAATGGATTTCAAGTTTTGAAAATAGCGTATTTTATAACGCATTTTTGGACCGTCAATTTTCAAGATTTTGAAGCTTTCATATATCTTTTGATTTACACTATGTTTTAAGCTTTAAACTTTATAAATAAAGATGAAAATATACTTCAAGGCTATCAAAAAGATTTTCAATATTGAAACTTGACAATATTTGAAGGTAGGCTCTAATTTGATTGTTTAGAGCATAGGCTCTATACAAACCGCACCCTTAATATATTCGGGGAATGGCATTTGTGGATCATAGATGAGAGAGTCGACATCGATGGTAGCATTGCGTTTCATACACGAATGAGTGTTTTATGGAGGTTAAAGATTTAATGTTTTTATTTTTTTAAGGGTGCAGATTGTATAGAGCCTAGGCCCTAAACAATCAAATTAGAGCCTACCTTCAAATAGTGTCGAGAAATGCAGTTTCGATACTGGAAATCTTTTTGATAACCTTAAAATGCATTTTCATCTTTATTTATAAGGTTTAAAGCTTAAAAAATAGTGTAGATCGACAGATCTATGAAAACTTAAAAATCTTGAAAATTGACAGTTAAAAAATGCGTTACAAAATACACTATTTTCGAAACTTGAAATCCATTTTTTTTCTCATGCCCATGTATCTTGATGTCGAGATGATCACTTTGAGGATATTTGGGCATCAAAACAACATCTTCTAGTGAAAGTTTTGAAGTAGGCTCAAATTTGATTGTTCAGAGCCTCGGCTCTATATAAACTTTTCCTTTTTTTAATATGAGTGGAAAGGCCTTTTGGCCGCCGTAAAAAAATGAAGTTCTATACTTCGTTCCATACTCGCGGGAACATTTTCTCCATTTACTCCCTCTATTGAAAATTAATCTAGGAGTAATTTTGGGATTTAAAAATTTACAAAAGCAGGAAAAGAAAAAGGACAATATCCAAGGCTCTATGCATCTGTTTGAAAAATAATAATTGATGTAGCTGAAAATTACTGACTGTTAATAACTGACAAAACAACCATGTTTTAGAGAGAGAAATAAAAAACTAAAAACAAAAACAGTAAGGAGATAGCACCAACATGCAACTTCTAGTCCTCCACCACGCACCCACAAAAGCAAAAAGAAAAATGCCTCTCTCGCTCTCTACATGCTCTGTAGAAATTTGTTTTTCTATTTCACGTACAAAAGCCAAAAAGCCCCATCACAATGAGGCTTCTATTCTTTTGACTTCCTCTCTATAAGGGTGCATTTCTGTTTTTGAAAGATATCTTCTGGAAAGTTGAATGTTTTGTTATGAAAAGTTTAAATAAGTTATGGGTACTGTGTTTGATAACATGTTGGAATGTCAAAAAAGTTATGGGTACTGTGTTTGATCACATATACATATTAACCATATAAATATAAATATATAACATAATATAATATACAATATAATATATGTTATATATTTTATTAATGTATATTTGTATTATATATAACATCAAATATAATAAAAGATATTTATATATTATATGAAATAAATAGTAATATTATATCTTATATGTAATATATAATTAATATATACTATATAATATAAATTATATTAATAAAATAAATATAATAGTAATATTATATTAAATTATATCATATTAATAATATTAATATTATGCGTTTATATTATGCATAGTGAATAGTGATCAACAAAAAAGTTCTGAAAGGTTAAGTTTTTATTCCCTCCCCCTTTTATTCTTTCACTTTTAACAAGAGAATGGGAACTTTTGTTGAAAGATTAGTTTCTGAACCTTTCATGAAAAGTGTGAAACAAATGCTGAATTTTTTCAAAATTTGAAAGAATACTTTCAAAAAAACAAACAAGCCTTGAAAGATTCCTTTCCTTGCCATGTCAAAGGATATCTTTTACTCCTACTTTTATCTTCTAAAGGCAAATTTGCCTAAAACCAACTCAACATCAAAAAAGTATCGACCAACTTTTAATTCTAACAATAGTATAAACTCTTAATGAAGTTAAACATGGGACTCTCACTCTAAATAAAATGGACTCTAGGAAAATTTAAATAAAACGAACTCTAAGAGAAATTTAAATAAAATCATTTTTTTTTTTCTTGCGACCCCAATCCCACCGCTACAAATAATTAAGCATGATTATTACGACTGCATCATCCTTCCTGGTTGGAGATAATTCGTCATCGAGTTAAGCTCCTCATCACTTGAGGAATCTTTCGCTTAATGAATTTAGTGCTTCACATTGAAATCTTGAGAAGTCCTCATATGGCTTGGTAGCTTTCACTGATAGGGATTGTCATTGATCTTCTTTAAAATTTCGCATGGCCCAATCTTTTGATTACTGAGCTTGTTATATATTCCCTAGAAGGGCACCTATCTTTTGTCAAAATAACCCACATTTAATCTCCAACTTCAAACACTTGCTTGCGACTAACTGTTTATCTGCAGCTGCCTTGTATTTAGTATTACTGGTTTCAATCTGCTTCTTAACCTGCTCATGAATGCGTTTGATCTGGTCAGCTAAGTCTTTTCCCTTATCACTAAATTTCCCTGCATGAGTTATATGAGTTAAATCTAGCACAGTACTTAGATTATGTCCATAAACAACTTCAAATGGTCTTTTCTAAGTAGTTCGATTCTGGGACCCGTTGAAAGAAAATTCTGCTTGAGATAAAGCCAAATCCTATTGCTTCGACTTGTTTCTTGCCAAACTGCATAATAAATTTCCCAAGGTCTTATGCACTAACTCTGCCAGACCATCAGTTTGTGGATGATA